GACGGGGTGGGTGGGTTGGGGGGGGGGCGCCTCCCCAGGAATAGGAGGGTGACCCAGTCAGGGCAAGGGGGGACTCTCCCCTCAGTGGGGATCTGTAGAAGAGGCGCCTGGGCTCCGGGCGGGCGGGGTCCTGAGCTCCTTCCCTCCCTTTCAGGATCCTGCCCGCCTGCCCAGTGACTCCAGCTCCATCTGCTCCCGCCCGGCCGAGGGTGAGTGTTGTGTCGCCCAGGCTTCCCCCAGAATCGGGGCCTTTCGCGCAACCCACAGCAGCCGCCCCAACACTGCCTGTGGGTTGCCGGCTGCCTTTCTCCCCCAAACGGCGGTGGAGGGAGGGCTCCGGCCGGCTCCGTGGCTTGTCTTGTGGCTGACTCTGGCCGGCATGAGAGAGGGCTCCCCTGCCCCAAACAAGCGGGGGGGGGATCCTCGTGGACCGAGGGGGAGCCTGTCGGCACGAACGGGCCACGAGGGGCTTCCTCCCGGCCTGGTCAGTTTTTTTTGGGGGGGAGGGGAACATGAGGGGTTTAGAAAAAGACCCTGCCCCCCCCTCCGGTGGATTGCCCTTCCTTTTCCCCCCTGGTCTCTCAGGACGCCTCTCCGTGGATTCCCAAGACGGGGACAGTGGCCTGGACTCTGGCCCAGAGCGGTTCCTCCCCGTGAGCGAGGTGAGGGCCTGGGGTGGCCGGGTGGCCCCCAGCGGTGGGTGGAGGCTCTCCTTCCTTGGGATGGGGAAGGGTTTGGGGAGCCCCCTTTCCGCGGGGCCGGCCCCTCTCCCAGGGCCCCCTTCCTCCTGCACGCCCTCCACCCCCTCGGAGGTGCCCTGGGCTAGCGGATGGCCTTCCTCCTCCTCCTCTCTGCCGCAGGGCTCCCTCAGCCGGAACGCGGTCCTTTCTGAGCCCGGCCCAGAGAGCCCCCACCCCTCCCCGGTCATCGCCTCCCGGCTGTTCCCGCACCACCGGCGCCAAGGCTCGGACACGCCGTTCTCCCCTTCCTCCGCGGAGCAGGTGAGCGGGGCTCCCCCCTCGAGCCCGTCTCTCTCTCTCTCTCTCTCTCTCTCTCATGCCAGGGAAACTCTCTGGGAAAACCAGCCGCGGGGCGTCCCCTCTTCCTCGGAGCCCCGGGTCTGGGAGGCGGCCCCTCTCGGGTGGGTGCAGGGTTAGGCTTTGGGTTTTGATCCCCGTGGTGACCCTCCACCTTAGGCGGCTGCGCTGCCCGGGCGGGAGCTGAGCCTTTACAGAGGCTCTGCCTTTTCTGTGCCTCCCCGGTCGGTTCTTTCTCTGCTTCCAGCCAAGGGTTTCATCCTGGGGGGGGGCGGCGATCTGGGTTTCCTTTGGGGGCTCTTTCAGCTCCGAGTGCGGAGGATGCTCCCTTATTTCCTCGGCCTCACTTTCCCTTCCGAATCTCCCCTGGCAGAGTTCGGACCGGATGCTCCGGCAGCCGCTGATCATCGGTCCGGAGGAAGACTACGACCCGGGATGCTTCAACAACGAGGTAGCTCCCTCGGAAGGCCCTGGGAGTGTTTCTGGGGATTGGGGGGTGGGGGGGCCCTCCCGCTGCCAGGTCTTTAGGGGCCCCGGTGGGGCTGCCCGCCCGCCCCCGCCCTCCCCAGGGGCTCCTCCCCAGCTGCCTGCGTTTTGCCTCCCTCTTCCTAGTGCGATTCCCTCTTCCAAGACCTGGGGAGGCTGAAGACGCGGCCGGCTCACCTGGGCGTGTTCCTGCGCTACCTCTTCTCTCAAGCGGACCCCAGTCCTCTGGTAGGGCCCCCCCCAAGAGACCTCCCCTCCCCTTCCAGGCTGGCTGGGGGGTGGGTGGGTAAGGCTGGGAGGAAGTGGGGGGGGCTTCGCTCAGTGCAAGGGCCCAGCTTTGCAGACGGGAGATCTGCAGAGTTGCAGGGCGTGGGGGGGTGTCGGAGGGGGTGGGGGTGGAAAGCCAGCTTGAGGGGGAGTCCTAAGGCAAGGCTTGTATTGTGGGGAAAGGCAACCCTCGTTCCGGCCGTGCCGCAGACCCTCCAGCTCGCTTGGTACCCGTGGGTCCCAACCCTGGGAGGGTGGCCTGCCCCCCCCCACCTGTGACTCACCAGACCCGCCTTGCCTGGTGCCCGGGAGACCTTGCTCAGGCCCACTTCCCCTTCCTCCACCACCACCACCACCACTTCCCCTGCTTGAGTTTTCCTGGCGGGCATTTCATCATCATCCTCGCTGCCGCTTTTGCTTTCCTTTGCTCTGACTCTACCTCCTCTTCTCTTCCGGCTGGCCTTCCCTCCCGCTGCCCCCCCCCCGCGCACGCGCCC